CCCTTCTGCCCATGAGGGTGGGAACAAGGCACCCACATATATTCATACCCCCCACATACCCTACTGTACCTTGCTTCCACCCTTGTGGGCAGAAAGGCCCAGCCAGCAGGCAGCTTCTGGGCAGCCTTGGGGATCTGCTCAGCTTCCTCAGCATCCTGCTCGCTCTGGACAGCAGGTAGGGAAGCAGTGGGAGTGGGAGCAGAGCTTCAGCTGGGTGGGAGCATGGGGGGCAGGGGCTGGGGCTGGTGGCAGCACAGAGTCCACACCCAGGGGTGGTGGCAGCACAGAGCTTAGGTGGGTAGGGTCTGAGGGAGGGTATGGGTACCCTACCTCTCCTCTCCCCCCATGGTGGGCTGGCAAGTGGTGGTAGCAGCAGCAGCAGATGGGGGCGCTTATGCCTGGCACCCAGCTCTGGCCAGAGTTGCACATTGCAGCGAGGAGCGCAGCCCCCGCTGGGCAGTCTATTGCCAGTACTTCGGGCCACGCACACACAGCCCCTACACTTGCGCGGCATGGGAAGGGGAAGCCTCATGTGCTGGAACCAGCTGCCTTCCCTGCTCCCTAGACATGCATGGCAGAGGGTGGGGAAGGCAGCTGGCTCCAGCGCGTGGGGCTTCCCTCCTGTGCTGCGCAAGTGCAGGGGCTGCATGTGTGTGGCAGGGAATGCCGGCGATAGAGATTGCCGGGTGGGGGCTGTGCTCCTCACTGTGATGTGCACCACTAGCCAGAGCCGCACGCCGCTGGGCACCAGCATCTATGCTGGGCACAAGCACCCTGAGCACATTCCCCTCCACCCTCCCTCACATCCCATGAATGCCACACACCCACACCCTGCCCCCACATCTCCCCACATATAGAGAACCCCAACATACCCTGTGCCCCCTCACACACAGCCACAGCCCTCACAAACCCCACCACAAATCCCCCATACCCCACCATACACATACACACCCCTAACCACACCCCCTACACAATGTACAAGACCAAGAATTTATTATTGAGTTACTTTGCAATCACCTCTATATACAGTATGCAACCACAAAACATGACAAAAATATTTTTTGTAATAAAATTAAAATATGTTATAGTAGGTATTTGACTTTTAGTGAATGATTTGGGGGGTAGTTTCTGGTTCTAAGATGGCAACAACCTCTCCCAAAAGGAGTATTTCTGGGGGGCAAAGGGAGGGACATCCAGTGGCAAAGGTTAAGGATTAGGGGTGGGACTTCCAGTCCCAAGATGGCAACCAAGAGGTGGGGCAACTGTCAAGGGGCGGGTCTACCCTGCGGCCCTCAAAAGCTCATCAAACCTTGCTAAGGGGCCCTCCACCCAAAATAGTTGCCCGTCCCTGTTTTAAGATCTGCCCAGTTTGGTTGAATTTGTGCTATTAACTTACTGTTTGCAACTACCAGCATGTATTGTAGTTGGAATAGTCATTTTGATTTACCCCATCCTTTTTTCCCTTTTTTTTAAAGATGGGCACCATGTTAGCCTGTCTCCAGTCCTTTGGGACTCCACCTGTTACCTGTGACATAAATATTGTTCCAAGTGGCTCTGAGATTTCTTTGGCCAGTTGCTTCAGCACCCTGGGATGAATTTTGTCAGATTCTGATGACTTGAATTCTTTAATATTTGTCAAAGCTCACTGCTGCCTTCTTTATTTAAGATGTGGCCTGGCCCTTCTTCCTTCTTCTCTGTATGATATTTGCTTGATTAAAAGACAAGATTTCTTTTCACCATTTAACACCTGGGGGGGAAGCCCCTCGTTTTATAATCAAGTACGAGATGGCGGGTACAGGCAGCTGCTGCAGCTCAAACTCTGGCCCAGGGCCAGAGCTGCAGCTTCTGCTTTCCCCCCTGCTGCATCTGCACCCTCTGCCACTCCCTCTCCCCACAGCCTCAAGTCCCTGTTGCCCCCAGTCCTCTCCCACCCATGCTGCTTTTCCCCCTCTCTCCCCCTTTGCCACACTCCTCCTTACCTTTGTTTTGTGCTGACAGGCTCCGTCCTTGCTGCAGCTTGGAACATGGAGCACGTGCTTCACCTCATCCCTGTAGCAGCAGTGCCAGCTCCACAGCACTGCTGGGGTCATGCTCAGTGCCTCAGGCAGAAGCAGGGACAGAACCTGCTGGTATGGAGCAAAAGTAAGGGTGTGAATGGTGGTGGGGCAGGCAGGACAATAGGGACTTTGAGGGGAAGGGGAGATGCGGGGGAAGGGGAGGCGGGGACCCAAGACTGCAGAGAGCAAAAGCAGTGTGGGGATGGGGGTAGGCAGGGGAAGCAGGGATGGGGAGCCTGGTTTTATCTTGAACTTTCTGGAACAGAAAGTTGTCCTCTAAGTTTAGCTTGCTGGACATCTTATGTTTTGTTGCATTAATCTTCCAACTGGTGCTGGGAACTTAATTTCCCATAAATGCCATCATACGTTTTTTGGATATTGTTATTTCCTTGTAGCAATGTTACTTCCTGATTTAGGGGTATAGGCTGTAGCCAGTGTTACCTCTAAGCTGCATGCGTGTGCGGCCACACACAATAAAAAATCATGCTGCGCAATAACTTTTTAATGCCATGCACACAGTGGCATACTGATGGGGGGTGGGGAATGGTAGGGGCTGCCAGACTGCTGCAGTGGGTAGAGGGTACAGGGTCCACTCTAGGTCAGGGCTGCTGCAGCAGTCCAGCTGGCACAGGGGGCTAGTGTCCCCATATGTCAACTGGCTGGGCCTGAGAAACTCCCGAGCAAGTAGCCGAGCTGCTCGCCAGGGCAGGTTTTTATACTGCTGGGTCCAGCACATGTGCTGGCCACAGCCTTCTGCTCCCCCTGGCTTAAGATCTGGAAGGAACTGGGCAGGGTCAGTTTGCCCCAAGTTGCACAACTTGCCCCACACCAAAGTGTATGTTCAGGCACGTGTGCTGAGGCACAAATCCCCAGCACAAATTTGTGCCGCTCCTATTTGAGCTGCTGCAAGCCCATGTGCCTGCATATGTGGACACGCCTCTGGAGGTGCAGGTGCAAGATCCAGGAATGTCGACAGTTCTGTTGTGCGGTGTCGTTATTGTGTTGGTGGTGGAGATCTGTTGGCAGGTTTCATAGATTTCATAGAGATTAGGGCTGGAAGGGACCTTGGAAGATCATCAAGTCCAGCCCCCCGCCCGAAGGGCAGGAAGTCAGCTGAGGTCATAGGATCCCAGCAAGATAAGCATCCAATTTACTCTTGAAGGTGTTCAATGTAGGTGCTAGAACCACCTCCTGCTGCAGGTTATTCCAGACCTTAGGGGCTTGGGCAGTAATGAAATTCTTCCTTATGTCCAGCCTGAAACAGTCTTGCAGTAGTTTATAACCGTTCGAACTCATCATCCCTTGGGGTGCTCTGGTGAACAAACATTCCCCCAGGTACTCATGGTCACCCCTGATAAACTTATAGGTGGCCATCAGATCACCCCGAGCCTGCGCTTTTTCAGGCTAAAGAGCCCCATAGCTCTCAGCCTGTTGTCGTAAGGTCTGTTTTCCTGACCTCTGATCATGTGCGTGGCTCTTCTCTGGACTCTCTCAAGCTTCTCCACATCCTTTTTGAATTGTGGAGCCCAAAACTGGACACAGTACTCCAGCTGCGGCCTCACCAAGGCCGAGTACAAGGGGAGAATGACGTCCCGGGATTTGCTTGAGAAGCATCTATGGATGCAAGCCAGCGTTTTAGTCGCTTTACTAGCCGCAGCATCACATTGCAGGTTCATTCATCTTGTGGTCAATGATGACCCCCATTTTACATTTCTTGTCATGGCATAGTCTGAATCCATTCAGTGTGTTTTGGGCTGTAGGAAATTTGCTTCTGGTGATGAGGATGGCGAGGTTTGGTGCTTGTTTAAAGACTAGGATTTAGTGATTTGTGATCTGCAGCAGACATCCTCCTTTCATATCCCCTACCCTGTTGTTCTTTATCTTCACCTTGATTTGCTGATTTCTTTCTCTTGGACCTGAAACTTGAACATGCATTTTGATTTAGTGCAGTACCACCTCTTTTTTCCCCCAAAACTATCCTTCTGAAATAATGAATACCCTTCAATGTTGATATTCCAGTCATGGGAGCTATTCCAAATTTCGGTAATATTAAGTTATATTTTCCTTTACATGCTATGACTTTCATTTAATCTTGCTTGTTCCCCATACTTATGTTTTGTATATATGCATCATAAATATTCTGCAGCCAGCCTTACTAACTTTTTCTCCCACCAAGCCTTCTTCAGAATTGGGTTTCTTTTCTTGCCCCTCATCCCTCTATTGAATGCACCATGACTGAAGAGTTTTCTTTTGCTCTCCCTTGTAGAACTTTTCACAAGGTTAGCCATATGATGCCCAAAGATGCTTTTCCCAGTCTTTGTTAAATAGGCCCTGTGTCTGATGGCAGGTCTCTTAACCAGAACACCAGCCTATTGTCCAAAATCCTATTAAATATTTTCCTTTGTTACAT